TCATTTTACCAATTGGTTTGGTTACTGTGTTGATTATTTATTTGTTTACCTGCTCGTTAGTTTATTTATTACAATTTGCCCAAAAAAAATCCGCATGAGCGAACATAACGCACTTAAAGGCAGCACTCAAAATTTCAATTTTCATATTTTTATTGATTCGGCCCTGATCTCGGGTATGAGGTGCAAATCAAGAGCCCCTAAATTGCCCTTTCCGAAGCCCTATTTAGGCAGAAGTGGGCGAGTGCTTCGGCGCTGGTCATGTCGTATGCAACAGGAAATTGTATGCAACAGTGCAACAGAAAAACTCTTGTATGCAACAGTGCCACATCACATCGAGGTTGCTTGCCATGTCAGAACGGGGCAGTCTATAGATGGGTGGAGCACAAAAAGGGGGCGGGGCGCAAAGGGATTCTTCAATTTGCAGATTCTTCCATTTTCTCCTTTTAGATTCAACGTTAGAGGACCGGACCACAAGGTTGGTCTACTTCTGAGACTTGCTCTATAAGTAGTAACCTGGAAAGCATGATTTTTTTCCTTGAGAAATACACAAAATGAATAAAAAACAAAATCTTAATTTTAATATCTCAGGTAATTGCTCCTTCCAAAATACAAAACCTCAAAAGCGCAGAACTTTGCAGTACTTTAAGCTCTCATAGGTCTCTGGGCCGAGGGCAACTTATAAGATTTTTTGGAGAACTTAGGGGGATGTTCTTTTTTTTTCATGTCCACTTCTTTCTTTGATTGTTTTGATTTGTTCAGATTTCATGAAAAGAGCATCTGAATCATCGACGACACGACATCTACTTATGATTCATATTCTTTTGTTTGTTATTGTTGAGAAAAATGCTCTTTTGTGTTGCGATTCACGAGTGCAAGTGAAGAGAGAAAATGACGAGAACTAGTCTCCGGACTTGTTAACTTCGTAGTGAATAAAAAGTGAAAACCTTTCGTTTACTTTACACTCTATTTATCTATATATCGACTCCTTTACTTGTTCTAATAATAAAAATAACCTAAATTCCCAGTAATTTGTCTTCCCCCTTTGAAAAACTGAACCTTGAGTAGCTACATTCCTCCTCTTCATTCCCCCTCCATCTTCTACCTTATTCCAGGTCCCCAGGGACCACCCACGGCCAGAGCTCGAAGCTCTCAATCAATCACACCTACGTTCAATTAGCAGTCATCCCCTTGCGACTGGGTTTCATGAACCTGGTAGTAGAGCTATTTTTTGAATATTTGAACAGTTCGGCAGATTTGGAATTTCAAAATAAAAAACTTTGGATTTTTTGTGGAATTTTTAGCTTTGAACTATTGCCAGTGAAGTTCTGGATCTGATGTATCAAGAAAAACTATGATCTGATATATATTCAAATTCCATTAACGCTTCTCTGTTGAATCTGTCATGGCAGTTCTCTCCTGAAGCAGGTTCAACGACACGGTAGGATTACTGTAGTGCCGTTTTAAGAAGTGTAATTGCAATGTTTCGGTTCACTATGTTCACTCTTTTGTAATTGATTAGAGTAAAACAAGCAGAAAGTAACTTTGAAGTGGTATCACATGGAGATTACCTTTTAAGGAATTGTGATTTGTGATCATCGAACTTGACGAGCAACTCTTCACACTTCAGGTGTTTTACTTGAGTTGAGAGTAAGCGAGAAACCTTGCAAAGAATTCGTTCATGAATTATTAACTCTCAGTGACAATACACTCCAGAGCCTTTCTTTTAGCAAGTTATGTTGCATTTTCCAGTTTGAAGTATTGTTTGTTCAATCATCTTCTAATAGCTTTTACTATGGGTCAATCACATGGTTTATTAAATGCTGAGACTGTATATGATGTCCAATGTAAGCAGAAGTACTGAAAAATGCGCTAACTGCTATTTTGGCATAGTTTATAGACTTCTTCTTTTCTTAAAGGCACCGTCCACCCAAATTGGGATTGGCGAGATTATGATACTTAGCAAATGCGGGGCCCCCAACTGTATGATTGCTCAACTCGCGCTGCCTGAAGTTGCTTCCGAACCGAGAAAATTGCCTCGGAAATCGCTTCAGGCCGCGTTCGCGACGCTGGCTCCTCCCCTTTCGGAGTGGGCGTGACGTTCTTCCCGCCCATCCATGCGCGCCCAACCAATCACCGTACCGAAGAAATCGCTCTACTGGTTCTAAAACGAGGGTTTTTCGTGGTTTTCGCGGATTTCCAACTTGATATTCGGAATCAGGGGTATGAGAAGGCCCTGGAACGGCAAAAACATGGAGGTCGAAATTTTGGGTGGACGGTGCCTTTAAAGCCTCTTTTTTTCTAGTTCTGAGAGTCCATCCATTCCATCTGAGTTCGGTTTTGAAGAGTGGTCGTAGGATTTTGCCTGGGTCTGGGGGAAGGGGCGGGGGGGGGGGGGATGAAATTGCATTCACATCAATATTTGCTACTTCATCATTGCATTTGCACGTGCTCCACGATTTTTTAATTCTATCATATTTTTCCTTCGCAAATATCAGTTTTTATGCGTATTTAGGAAAAATCAATTTTAAAACGTTGACGACAACACGCATTTCCAGTTATCTGCTTTGCGGGCGAAACCTTTCAAGGAGAAGTCGGGATTGTGTCTGCTACAGCATATCTACCGTAGCTATAGGGCTGCCGAGAAACATGGAAGTTGTTCTGGATCTAGCGAGTAAAACAGTTTTTGTAGTGAGTTCATCCTAAAAAGATAATCCTAATGAAGTCAAGTTACGACTCACCGGTGGGTCACATTGTCCCACATGGCAGTCACACTCACCATGTGGGTCATGTTGTCGTCAGTTAACCACATCTGGATGAAATCTTGCTCTTCAATTTTTTTTATTAAATTTGGTTGAATAATAGTTTTTATGAACAACGATCAATTATATAATATTTCTTTTTATGAAAATCACTTCTCCTTCCCTTTGCCTTGCTCTCTCCGCTTTCCTAAGAAGCCGCTTGCGTCCATTCATCGTCTTTTTTTCTGGACATATTCCGAACCTACTTTCACTTATCCTAAATAGTTGCTGCACTTGGCATGACTTAGCTTTGACATAGCCGTTTCTTTTTATAACCCGCTGCACTTGACATAATAACTTTGACCGCTCATATTATGTTGCTTTCGTTTTTTACTACGCCATCCTGGCTAATACGGCTAATCTAGCGTAAAGATTGGAGATATCTGTCGCGTGTCAGGTGACTAGCAAGCTAAATAAAGTTCTGCATAAAAAAAAATTCTCTGATGATCTTTGATTTTTCTCTCGCTCCTTTGATACCCCTCTAGCCTTCTTTGCATGAACATAAATCGTCTTCTTGCCAGTCCTTTCAGAAGAGCACTCGCTTCCATATCGTATCGGTTCTACAGTTTCTTTCCCTAAACCTCAGTTTTTTTGAAACACTCAACATGAAAAAAATTCCGTTAGTGTCTTCATGTATGGCTGAGTCAGTGACGCAAACAATACGCATTTGCGGTCATTGTGGTTGCATACACAGTTGTACTCCAGTTGTCTGCGTCTCCACTGTCCACGAGCACTCTCAACGATGAGCGTCGGCTTGAAATCGCGCTGCGCAGTACGCGCAGCTTCTTTTGTTCAAGGAGAAATTTCACCGCATTTGTTAGATGTAGTCTTGGTTTAATTTGGTACTTTTTATATGCACCGAAGAAAGTGAAAGTTTTATCTGTTTTTTTTAAATTTTTCTATCTTGAGTCCTATTTTCCTTTTAAGTCATATATTGTGCCGCATTGCTAGCTTTAATTCGATTCCTATCACGCTTTAGCTGGTTATTTGCCAACTTCGATATTAGGTCAGTCACCCTTTGGTCCAACTGGCTTGGCGGCTGGAAGGCGGGCCTTCGTGACCTAATGGAGGCTAGGTAATGATCAGAGAGTACGGGCGCGGGAGAGACGCAGACTGTGTCGCAGGAGTGAGCGGCCTTAATTAGGTTACAAAGCCCCGCCTTTCAACCGCCAAGCCAGTTGAATCAAAGGTTAGACTTCTTTTAGCGCAAAGCTCTGATGCTTGTCTCACTACCGTATGCTTACCGTAGCCGCTAAAGAAGGCTTATTCGTTGCAAGACTATTTGCGCTAAAACAGGCGTTCTTCTAGTTATGTTCGGCGACAGAGTAGCGCATTAGTAATGAAATTTGCCATTTTGCGCCAATTCTAGGGTGCTTGCTCAGTTCTAGATTACTTGTCCTTTTAGTAATTGAAATCAAACTTTTCCTTCCCATCTGATCAACGATGGAGCAAAAGTTGATTTTAGTTTGCCAAGTGTTTTATATAGTTCAAAAGACTGCCAATTGAAGTATGTACTCGCCATCAGGTTTTTTTATTCACTTGTGTTTTGGTCAGACTTAGAGGGTACTTTGCTCAGTTATGCGTTATGGAATGAGGTGAACAGGTTCTGTTGTGGTAAATGGCAGTGACTTCATGATTTTTAGTGTATTACTCACTTTCAACGATTATGTTCCACTTTTAGTTTCACATTCTTGGATTGCGAAATGTAGTGTGCTTTCATTAGTTTGTACTCGAAAAGAGTGTTTCATGTTCACATCTAATTGATCCTTATCCGCTTCCCTTTCGCGATCGATATATTGATTTGATTGGAAGCTCCTCGTCCTATAATCCTGTTCGCAAACGATCTATCGACATTTGCTCTTCGTTTCCTTGATCCCGCTTGCGATCGACAATTGATTGGAATTTCCTTGTCCTGTTGACCGCTCGCGATCGATTTATTGAATTAACTCTATTCGTCCTTCTGACCAGTCCGCGATCGATATATCGATTTTTTGAAACGTCTGGTCTTTTTGACCCCTGCTCACAATCGATATATTGATCAGCTTTTTTCTCTTTTATCCGGCTTGCAATCGGTGTATCAAGCACTTAGTCTCGTTGTCCCCTTGATCCTGTTGTGGTCGATTTATTGATTTGAATCTCCTTGATTAAATGATCTGCTCGCGATTGACATATTGATTTTTTGTTCAATACTATGTTTGCAGGATGTCTCGGGTCGGTGTGTTTGGCCAGATTTCCGAGATCACCAACGATCTCTTCTTGTCCGGAGCTGGGTGTTTGAAACCGGAAAAAATCAAACAAAAACGGATATGTTTCATAGTTAATGCGACCACAGAAGAACCGAACGCATATATTCAAGGTTAGTGATTGTTTTTTTTCGTGACTATTCAATATTTGCTTGTCACTGTAAAAGAGACAAAAAACAAAAGTATTTGTTACAAAAGAATTAATGGAATGAAAGTGATGCGTATCACACATCAATTATTCCTGTAAAATCCGTAAAGCTAAATTGTTTCTTTTTTCCAAAAAAGTAGGACAAATGCGTAATTTGAAAAACTACTTAAAAGTTTCGTGCTTCCTGTGGATATCCTTTCTTTGTCTTCCCATCTCCCCTCCCGTAGCCCTACTGGTATATGGATAGGGGAACGAAAGCCGCCAATTTGGGCCGCCTCCGCGGACTACTGGTCCTGCAACGACATGTAACAACGCTGCGAAAGAACCAGCTGACCGCAAAAGGCGGCTCAAACTAGTAGCCTTCGTCCCCCTACCCCTGGTATTTTTCCAAATTTTCAGTGCACATTTTGGAAGTCCAGTTAAGCAAAAATCTCAGATTCTTTGTCGGCAATAGCAATATCTAGCCCTAATATAAAAATGATATCATTTACAACTCTGATTCGGGCATTTTTGAATAAAAACTTGGCAAAGCTCAAAATTTATTTGGTTTTTGTTTGTGTACGTCCAGTACTGACGCTTAAGAATTCTGGCATCTAAATTTGTATGATTTATCTCTTGGGGTTGGAAATTGAGGCATCCTTTTGTTTTCCCAGTTTACCAGTAAGTTTGAGTGATGTAATGTCGTTATCAGAAGATGTAAACAACAACTGTTTGGAATGTCTAGTATTTTGTTACAAACTCAAGAGTTTTCAACGTTGTTGACGCAACGTTCATCGAATAAAGTATATATCAATATATAACTAGTCATCTCGAACGAGTGCTTTGAGAACGAAAGTAAAAAAATGAACTGTGATTTTTCCAGGAGTTGAATATATGAAAGTTCGGATAGATGACCATCCATATGCACGTATTCAAGACTATTTCGATCAAGTGGCCGACAAGATCAAGGCTGTCAAGGTAAGGTCAAATCAACAGAATTATCTAAATTAAAGGCTTGATATATGCACGATGTGTATATGAGGACGTACACCGTTAGCATGGTCTATGAATTCTTCCCATCATCTATATTTCATAGAAATGCGATTTAGAATACGGTATTTAGAGCAGGTACCCCTTGATTCAACTGCTTGGCGGCTGGAAGGCGGGGCTTTGTGACCTAATTAAGGCTAGGTAATGAGCAGAGAGCACGCGCGCGGGAGAGACGCAGACTGCGTAGCGGGCGCCAGCGGCCTTAATTAGGTCAGGAAGCTCCACCTTCCTCCGCCAAGCCAGTTGAATCAAAGGTTATATCAGCGAAGTTTGGTGGAATTCACTTCTCTCCATGTGCCTATGACGCTAACGCTGGTTGTGCGGTCACTGCATTCTTTCTATAGTTTTTCCACTTCTTTCACATCAAAATTCTTTTCTTCATGTGAGACCAAGTTCTATGTAATGTTGAGAAAGTAATTTTGAATTATTAGCGTACCAAAATAATATTTAGTGACTAACTTTCTTGATTTTTATTTCCTCATTCCAGAAGTGCCAATTTATTCAACAGATATGCGTACTGTGGACTTTCCACCTAATGTTCAATTTTAAACCGGTTTCAAAAAAGCTTCAAAAAAGAGTCCCACAGTTGAACACATTGTTTGGAATGAAGTCACTTGCATGGAAGAATGCACTCACAGTAAAAAATTTCTACTAAAAAGTACAAAAACTGATGCTGCTCTTCGGTATAACTATATGTATTTGAAAATTTCGAGGTTTCTTTATAAAGGGCAAGGAAGAGGATTTCGAATTTATTTATTTCTTGTGTAATGAGTGACCTCTGATTCAACTGGCTTGGCGGCTGGAAGGCGGGGCTTTGTGACCTGATTGGAGTCGCTCCTGCCCGCGACGCAGTCTACGTCTCTCCCGTGCGCGTGCTATCCTGATCATTGCCTAGCCTTAACTAGGTCATGAAGGCCCGCCTTCCAGCCGCCAAGCCAGTTGAATCAAGGGGTAACTGAATTTATCAAGATACTTCTGATAAAGCCAAGAAATGTGCATCCTATCAGCAAAAACCGTGCAATTCTTGAATTTTTTCAGGATCGCGGCGGAAAAACCCTGGTCCATTGCATGGCTGGTGTATCACGTTCTGCCTCTCTGGTGATGATCTACCTCGTAAAATATGAACGAATGACACTTCGACAAGCCTATCACTATGTAAAATCTTGCCGACCCATTATCCGCCCGAATGTTGGTTTTTGGAAGCAGATGGTGGATTATGAGAAGCGCTTTCGAGGTTGGTTGTTATTAGTTGAAGACAGGTGTCTATGAGCAGCGATAGTGAATGCGCTGTTCTTGGGCGAAAAAAGTAATGTGAAGGCTGTAAAGCATATGGGGAAGATTTGGGGTTAGGGACGAATACACCACTCCCGCGGACACCTGTTCTTTTCCCACATAGTTGGCGTGCCTTACAAGGAGCAGTTGTCCGTGGAGGCGGGGCTATCGTTGCATGCGTCCTCTATTCAAAATTTGAAGATTGTAGGATTGATAAGGCTGCAGGCCCAGATTAGTGATGCTATACTGTAAAACTATGGAAATTCTGTTCAGGATCTGCCTCGGTGACGATGGTAATGACAAATCAGTGTGATTTACCGATCCCGGACATCTATGTTGATGATCTCAAACGAGCACAAGATCGAGAACAACAACAGCAACAACAGAAAGTCTCAAGCGGTACCCTCATCAGACAACCGATTGCATTGTCGTTAACGAAAAGGCGAGGATACTCTGCTAGGTGTGTATTTCTTGTATTGAAGTTTAGCTAGCGGGGGGCATCGTGGATATGCGAAAAAAATGTTGTCAAGACTCGCTCCAATTTTTATTGATTGTCCGCAAATAATCGTGACAAAATTGTGCGACAACGCCAGTGGGAAGGCTGCCTAACTTGACTTACGGGATATACCAGTCCCAGCGTGGCAGCTCAGGCGACCGGGATTCCTTGCGCCGTAGCGCGTTTTGGTCTTGCGTCGCGTACGCGGGCGTATCCTGTGGGCCTTCGCGCGTGGGCGGCGATGGGGGCCGGGGGAGTGGGTGCCCGGGGGGTACGTTTGGAACGCAGCAATGGGCAAGGCGAAACGGTCGCAGGAGCTTGAACGCTGGGGCTATGACGCTGTCTTAAAACGGCCTGCAGTGCAGCTGGTCATTCGCTAGAAGTTTGTTTCGTATACTTCACGGGTTGGCGCACTGGCTAACCATAAAGAAAAAATATCTTCGGTTCTAACTACTCTCATAATTATTATTTTCCAGTAATCTCCGGCCAATCACTTCCACACTACGACGCTCCACATCACCGGCAGTTTCATCAAGCAGTGTGCAGTATTCACTGCTTACACCGACACCGTCACGAAAACCTCGTGACAGTTTGTTCAGCCTTTACACATCCACATCACGGCCTTTCTTCTCGGCTTTCTGAGCTCTACACGGCGCCTTTCACTTGTTCCTGCCCTCTGCGACTTGTTAACCCGGTTCGGATCACCTCGTGTGTTCCATCGCACTAAGCGCCTAAACATTCGTCATTTCTTTCAAGTATTATCCATTCACAATGTACATATTACATGTGTAATCTCGGCATTTACATTTGTGTAGACGTGGGCGGTTTTGAGGTGAAGTAGGCGTTGCGTCGCGTGCTCATGCGACACGATTCCGCCCATGGCACACATTCGGGATAAGCCCTAATTATGCATGTGTCATCCATTCAGCGTCATTTACTCAGGTTCACTTGTTTCAGTGATGTCATCTATGAGATATCGAACCTCCTACGTTGTCAAGAGTATTTGATACATGTATCGTCAATTAGTATCTCTGGAAGTTCTAGCTCTTTGAAATAGTACTCTAATTAGGCCTTCTACGTAGTTCTCTAGTTCCCTTTTCTCTGAGCCACTCTTTCTTTGGTGGATTCGTGCGTCTTGAATTGATCTGCTGATCAATTTTTTTGGAGACATTCGTTCGACTACATTCTCACACATACACATACACATACACATATATACAGTTTAGGATCTAAGATATTGAGTTGTGACCGGGTATCGACTTTGCGTCATGTCTTGATTTACTTGGAAATCTACCTGTATTTTAACTGTGTAATATGAAAATATGTGGAACGTTCTTATGTATAGATTATTATTGTTTCACGATTCTTCTTGTATCATAATCAAGTATGACTAGAGTCACTTGTAATAAAGCATATCAGAAGTTTTGTATAGTCATTGTTCATATCCTGGTGTTGACGTCTAAGGACGAGATGTCTCTAAAAAGAGAAACAGAGAAAAGAAGAGTTTGCACGCGTTTGCAACATTTGAAATTTTTTCTTTGGAATGGTCTGAATATCCTATAGGCATATGAGCTCAATTTCTACAATAACGCGTAAAACTATTGGTCATAGAACGCGTACAAGGACCCGGACCGGTCAAGTGCTCTAAAAATGAATGCATTAAGAAGTACAATACCATCGGTGCCGCCTTTAAAATTTCCGAAATAAACGCGATGTCGCGTTGAAAGCGCCGCAACCTCGTAACTCCCTTCAAAATCATTTTTGAGCAGAGTGGAACACAGATTCGGAATCAGCGTCCTACATTCTATCTAGATCCATAATTTTTTTTTTCGGAAACTCAAATTTTTCACAATACTGGTGACGTCACGGTAAGCAGCCACGGTCATAGGCTTTTAAGCTCTTAAGTCGCTGTATGGCCGGTATTCAATGAGATTTGCTGGTATAAATCATTAAATACATCGGAAAGATCTTATTCCCTGTTTTTCCACGTAGTTTTGGCGGTCTAGAACTTTTTCATTCCAAATATAAAAAATTTCTTTTAGGCCGTGAAGTTCAAACTTTGAAGGTTCGTAAATTCATGAATTTGTATTCTTAGACGACCTGTTCTATGCAAGCAGGTAGAACAGAAAATTCTCTATAGGAACGGTATAAAATCACCTACTTGTATGGGTTTTCGCGCGAGATATCTGAGCCCGAACCAAGGTGCTCATGCTGCCACGTGCACTGATTGCCTGTGGGACCATTTTTAAAATACCGTATCTTAAGGATGGTCATGATCACGTGCCAAAGTTTTTGCATAGTGATAAAATAGGCTATGGTAATTAAGATCTGCATGTGTATGAGTGCTCTTCAAGGAAACTAACTGCACTGGGAGGAACGAAAAATGTAGAATTACGACTTGATTTTTACCATTTTTTGGGATCTCACCAATCATCACAATTTTTGAATATTCGGACTCTACATGCGATAAGCTTTGAAAAAATATATAGTTTGCTCCCTCTATCAGCACAGGAAAAGGAGTGATTTATTATATGCGTCAATTTGATTCACTAAGGGAGCTCGGGTGCCATCCTTAAGATTTAAAAATGGTCCCACAGGCAATCAGTGCACGTGGCAGCATGAGCACCTTGGTTCGGGCTCAGATATCTCGCGCGAAAACCCATACAAGTAGGTGATTTTATACCGTTCCTATAGAGAATTTTCTGTTCTACCTGCTTGCATAGAACAGGTCGTCTAAGAATACAAATTCATGAATTTACGAACCTTCAAAGTTTGAACTTCACGGCCTAAAAGAAATTTTTTATATTTGGAATGAAAAAGTTCTAGACCGCCAAAACTACGTGGAAAAACAGGGAATAAGATCTTTCCGATGTATTTAATGATTTATACCAGCAAATCTCATTGAATACCGGCCATACAGCGACTTAAGAGCTTAAAAGCCTATGACCGTGGCTGCTTACCGTGACGTCACCAGTATTGTGAAAAATTTGAGTTTCCGAAAAAAAAATTATGGATTTAGATAGATTGTAGGACGCTGATTCCGAATCTGTGTTCCACTCTGCTCAAAAATGATTTTGAAGGGAGTTACGAGGTTGCGGCGCTTTCAACGCGACATCGCGTTTATTTCGGAAATTTTAAAGGCGGCACCGATGGTATTGTATTAGTGGTTTTATTTCAACGAGTCGAGCATCACTCGAGCTATTGCTCTATCTATAGCTACTTATCTTTATCACTCTGTATCAGTGCTAAATTCATGCTTACAGAGATGTTTCATCTGAACCAGTGGAATACTCAGGATTTTTTCCAAGGGGGAAGGGGGGGGGGAGGGAGAGCGCCAAAAATAATTTGCTGATAAGGTGCGTGGGTGAGGCCACTCGGAGCCCATAGGCCTGAAATTTTAGAAAAAGGGGGCGTGGCGGCAACATGCCCCTAAAATTTTTGTAAGGCTAAATCGGATTTAAAAAAAACTTTAAACTTTTAAAAAATATGTTGATTATTTACAGTACAAACGAGTCGCTTACACATTTTTATAAGTCAGGTCAGTAAGTCAGTCTATCGGCGTGATAGATTGTGAAACTCGGCACATATATTTGCAACCCTGGCGGTCTTTTTAATCAACTTTTGGGCAAGTTTGTAGTTTCCATGGGCATGGTTTTCTTTCAAGTGAAACTGAAGCCATCACCTTATAGATATTGGAGGGTTGATGACTTGCTTTTTTTCTATTAACTTTACCCTACCAATTATCTGCGATGTTCCGGCCCCTCTATAAAACGCAACCCCAAATTTTTTTGAAATTTCTTACGCTGTATCTCAGAATGCTTTGTTCTTCTGCAAGTTGATCAACACTTCTTGGGCGAGGCCGGAACAGTAAATCAGTGTTACACGAGTACATATAGTTATATATATTGTTTGCTACACTTAATGATCTCGCTCATTATAACAGACATTACACAAAGCTGAGGAGAACTGTATGAGCAAGTAAAGAATGAATAAAGTATAGTATCTATTTGATGGGATCTAAGACGGTGTTGAGCAAGTGTTTTGCGCTTATGTAGAAACTTCTAAGGACAAAAGAAGTAATTAACGTTTCGGAAAGGGTATGTGCAGCAGTTACGGTACCTAGTGAACTCCACGTAACGACTAGGCTAAGGCCTAAGTTGAACCTACGGCGCATCAGCGCAGCATCAATTGTGCCATTCTCGACGCTACCGCTTTGTAGAAACGACAAAAGTGTCCACCTCAAGGAATGAGACGTAAAGGTAAATTAAGATAGTGATGACCTTCTTCTATGGTTCCAATATCGTAACCAATGAAATTGGCTGCTATAAGCTGCTCCTCGGTCTTCTCTCATGTTAGCCCCAACATTGTGCAGTTTCCCGTTTTGTGTGCTCTTCTACCACAAAAGAACTTGGACTTAGTCGTCCCGTAAGTGGCTTGCGAGCAACCTATGGAATTTCAGTTTTGATCCTCCTCATTTGTGCACTATCTTCGTCGGTACCAACTTGCGACCTAAGTTGCGCTTACCGAAATTTCTTCCGATGAACTTGCTTTGTTTGAACGCGGCGTCATGGCAATTTGGATCAAAGGTTGTCTTACCTGGGAATATCCTCCCCGCTGTTTTCGAAAATGAAGATTGTAGAACACAAATTTCGTGACAGGTGTTCCAGTAACATGGATTTTGAATTTGAAATATGCCACCAAGGTTAAGACTCATTGTCGTTGTGTGACCCTATGTGTTGACTGTGTGCAATATGCGAACTCTGGCTTGCAGCTTGAAGTCGATAACATGACGGGCGCGCCCAAAGAGGTATCCGTGTTGTTTTGAAGCGGTTTTTCCGCTTCAAAACAATTGGTGCAATGCCTGGGCAAGAGCTTGAACAGGATTGGCGCTGTTGCACATGCGTTTTCATTTTACTCGTTATCTTCATGCCTGAAGCAAACGCTGCCTTAAAGCATGGGAGGATGGGCGGTCGAAAGCTAGTTGATATGAAGTGGTAAGTTGACCTACAATACCACCCGTAATTTGTGAAAAAAATGGCGGCGGCACTTAACTTACGCGGCGCCGCCGAAGTTAGGTGACTTTTGCCGCGTCGCGCGGCAAAAGTCGGCGGAAAAAGCGGCCAAAGTCACCTAACTTTGTCGCGCAACGCCTAACTTTTTATAAAAAAAGACCTTATCTTGATTCAAAATTTATGAATTCTATATATAAGACCATTCAACTCAGCTCGGCGAGGCGCATCTTCCAGTATACGGATGTGCCTAGTTGTGGGATATAAGTTTCTTTCCTGGAATTTTAGTGTAAATGGACCATTCAGTGTGCTTATTCCAGAGGATACGTACACATTCTATTGAGCACAGCAGAAATAGGGCAGGTATAGTTTAAGAGCTCATTCTGCATAGATATATGTGAAACTGTGCAGCTCATTCTGCGTGGATGTGCGTGAAAGTGGGCTTTTCTCGGCGAAGTATGACGGGTCCCAAAATGCAGGAAGACAAAGGGAAATGGTTGGAAATCGCATGAGAAGCACATATCGCGGAATGCCGCCGCGTGCTGTGCAATGTACAATACCAGTACTCTGCGTTGATACCACTGCTT